TTTGTTTTTTGATAAATTATTAGCGACGAAGTTATTGTAACGAGCATAGTTTATGGAAGAAACAATAGGACAAAAGGTTAACGCGATCTGTAAAATGATCGATGTGACAGGAATATTTTAATATAAAATTCATACATGTGCACTGAGTTTGAAACAAGAGAAATTACTTTGGACAACTTAACGACTTCTCCTAGCTATTGCGAGCATTGTTCGCGATTAAATTGCATATGTGTAGCACAGATGAATTCAGGCGATTTTATGAAATTAAGGTTAGATAATAGTAACTGAAATTTCTCGTGGAATAATATCGTCGGAACACTGTGGCTTGAAAGGAGAATCTCATTGAACGGCGGTCAGCAAATTGTGGCCGAAAAGGAAAGTCTAGCGGACCGTTATTGTCAGGTATCAACAGGTCAGAAAAGGTTTGGCACTTCGGTCACTGGTCGCTTCCTTTAAGAGATTACAGTCAGAAAATCGGTCATCCTAGAATTACGATCCATAAAAGATGACGGCAATGTAGTCGATTGTCTGTTGGTATCCCGTTAACACTCCAGATTTTATCCAACATTTCCTTGTTAATTAAACCTCGACACTGGATTAATCATTCTATTAAAAATGTTGCCGAACATCAAACTCTCCGCGAGAATCATATCCCGACACTTATCCCACTCTCTTCAAACCATTCGTTTCAATCGTAAATCGTTTAATCTAAAAACATAACAATAATACCGTAGTGCCTATGAAAATCCAGCTTAATAAAATAATTAAAGAATGCTCCCCGTTGAAATGGGTTTTTTTAAAGTTGTCAACTGACAGCGAATATCCGCGTGATTTCTAATTTCCGTAACAAATTTCTAAAATGTACGAATACATAAAAATCCCGTGAGATTTGATTGTAACGTTCACTTTATTGTGCCTTGCGCTGTAAAGTGCGCCGTAAATGCCTGGGTAGCCGCAGTCTAGTTATTACGTTTCATATATCACGCGGAAATTAATGGGAATGTTAATTTCGGATACTCTCTTAACATTTAGCCGAGCGATCTCGCGTGACGAAGGCAGTCAAAAATATCGTATCCCCGGAATGCACCCACTGACAAGGATTCATGCAATGATACGGTTATACGATTGTGTTTACGTTTCGCAAGCTTTCCTACGCACCGTGGTGTGCCGCTATAAAGGGGCGCATAACCATTTCAAACAAAGTGCGCTGCTGAACACGAGTCTCGCTCAATGATCAACGGGAACTTCCATAAACCCGAATTATGACGTCAGACTGCTGTTTCGACGAAAATGACAATTACACTCGCGGTTTTCCATTTATTTTTCACTCGTACGACACGTCGTATAATGAATAATTCATAAAATAATTATCTGTCCTTTCCTAGTTTGAAACAGGTAATACAACTTTTCGAAAAATTGTACAAAAGAAGTTATCCTGTAAATTTCAGACACTTGAATTTTAAATTATGAACTCATTATTCTTGCAATACACTAGAAATTTTATATATTCGTAAATCTTTATTAACCTTTTGCGCTCGAGTGGTGACTCTCAGTCACCGCTAGACTTGATATAGCAAAATTATAGTCTTATATAGAGTATTATACCTCGTATAATGAATCGATACGTGGAGTATTGGAACGAAATAGCCTTGTTACTTAATTTACGTACGTTCTCTCGTTTGTTAGTTTCAAAGAACGTCGCTTATATCTCATTGAAGAATGTTGCACGTTTCTAGTGAAAAACTTTTGAGTGCTAAAGGTTAAAAATAGCCAACAATCCTAACGATGCAATCGAAAATCAATAGTAACGTATACTGTAGAATACATTCCAATAAAAATCTAATTCAATCATCTCGCTGCTTATAGCGTCTTGTTCTATTTACCATTTTACTATTTATCATAAAAGGATTTTAGAACAGCACGAAAGGAAGTAAAACGAAGAAAAGGGTTACCGCCTTTATAAAAAAAAATGGACCCTTTGTATTTTCTTTTGGCGCTGCGCGAGACGTTGATTTAGATGACTGTGATTTCCGAGTTGGCTACTTGTTACCCCGAGTCCGGGAGGTGATTGGCGTGCGGCGGAGACTACGCGGAAGGTGTGCGAATCCGATTCTCTTCTCCTCTACCCTCTTTGACTGATTCATTCCGTCTCCATCCGCCGGTGCGCACCGTCACAGAACGTCGCCACTAATGACGCAAAGAGGAATGCTGTCCGGCTGTCGGTACGGCCGCGTCGGTAGCCATTTGTAATTCGCCGAAGAAAAAATTGACAAAAAGTCGAATCAAAGTGTGATGACGGAGGGAGATGACCAGCTACCTGCAATTAACGATGCTCGCTGCCAGATGTAATTAAAATTGTGTGGTTCCTTTTGTTCATCTTTTTCCCTCATCTGTGCCCAACAGCTCGCCTTTTTTAATGAATCCTTTCAATTTCGCCTTCCATCCTCGATGTTCCAATTCATTTGACCGAAAAACAGTCGTCTAGTTTCTCGTAAACCCGAAGCGTACTTCTATGCGTTTCTTATTTCGCGGATGCAAATAAAATCTTGACGCCTCTCGGACGTTACAGATAATTTTGTAAACGGACGTGCTAAACCGACTCAATTGTCGTAAATTATTTAAATAATAATGAACAGTTCGATACGAGGATGTTTTAATCTTACCGATGGTCAAAAGAACGAAATGGTTGCAGATCTTCGGAATCTAATTAATATTTCGTAAAATGATTTCATTGATATCAGTAAATTCATTGTCCTAAGATTCTTCGTTGTTTCGATAAGTCTACTGCGAGAAACTCTTAAGCAATGCTCCAGAAAAGAAAAGTAACTTCACCAGTTTATAGACATTACTGTAAAACCAATTTCCTACGCAACAACATCGCACACCTCCATTGGTGTTTAAATCCATGTTTAATCATGCACGTACTCGGTAGCTCAACGAACATTTCGCAGTTGAACATCACGGAACCTCGCCGAACTGACGATGCACCGGTGTCACGCAACGTCCCGTGAACACGAGCCCACCAAGCACGGGGCCCGGGCGACCATAAACTTTTCGGGGAACGCGCGCAGGAGGGGGACGGAACTTTCGGCAATTACATTTTTATTGCGACCGATTCGTGCATTTCATCGTAGCACATTGTATCAGTTCCGTGGCGATTTAAAAAAAATCTGGCCCCGGCGGCACCACCCCTTCGCCGACGATGACAGAGTCGACAGAATATTACAGAGATCCTCCAGTGGAGTTAATTCCCCCGGCGGGGCCCGTGCAGGGGTACTGTTTTAATTAGAAAATCTAATTGATGGCCGCGTACGGTGTGGCTGCCGAGCAATCCATAAACGACTTCTTAGAGCTGTGCACCTGGCCAACACGGCGTTAATTACTCACCTTCTGTGGCCAGGGTCCTTCCATCTCTCGCCTCCCTCTTTCTCTCTTTCTCTCTTTCTCTCTCCTATCCCCACCCTTTCCCAGCATCGTTCTACTCATTTTTTACGAGCTCTCTCTTGACTCTGGTGAGCCTGAAAGAGTCACAAGAGTAGGAGAACGAAGAGAGGGGCTGGCGGAAAAAAGAGGAAAACGGTGAATCGGTAGGATGAAGGAGGACAGGTAGCTAAGCTAAAGACACCGGGATGAGAAAGAGGAATAGAGAGACCGTGAGTGAGAGGAGGTTGCAGGGTGGTTGACGAAGAGAAAGAGAACGATAGAGGGGGTGGGAGAAGGAGAGAGCAACAAGTGTCTCCCGTCGCGAGGCGCAAAAGCATTCCTAATTACGCCCCTGCCCTTGGAGCGAGACGAGAACGAGACAAAAAGCGCGTTGATTACATTTTCGTATAATTTCATCGGCCGGCTCTCGCCATTAAGAGCCACCACCGCGCGCAAATTAGATCGATTCTTTAATGCCCGGAGCCGCGTAATTGGTTCTCATTCTCGGAAGCTGACGATGAAATCGGATATCTGTCGTGTATATGCCCAGGCCAACGGGGTGGACCAGCGGGACTCGAACGGGCCGCGTCGGGTGCGCGGCCCACGGTAATTGCTTCTCCGACTGTTTTGCGGTTCCCCGCGCCGAAACCGTGCCACCGAAACCACCCTTTGCGAGCGTATCGTTAATGTCGCGATACGCCCGGCCGATAATGAAGCGAGAAACGCTTTTTGCCGGACAGTTCGCGGGATGTTAATGAATCGTAACGCGCGGCGCGGCTGTTATTTTAACGCGCTCGCACGTTCCGCGATTTCCGTGGGCCCAGCGAGCGCGCAGTCGTTACGCGTGCCGTGATTGCACCGCACGGAATTGAAACTGTTCGGGAACGTTTGCATGCTGCGCACGGTGCATGTGATGATGTTTGGGGGCTTTGATTGATTTCTGATGCTAGAGGTTTGTTGGGGAGATGCAGAAGATGATGGAGTTCGATGTTTCTTGTCTTCGACCCTGTAGCCGTAACGTGGTACACACGTCTTGGTTACTTTATTCGTTTTATAGAGAGCAGGTTGCATTGGTGTTTTGAACAATTTTAATGCTTTCGAAGCGCATCATATTGAAACACGCTTTTGATGATCAACGTATTTTATTTATCTCTGATTGTTTTTACTCTCTCTTTTTCATTGGTATTACAAAGTTTATTGTAATTATTCAGTGTAAACTATAAACTTCACCCGGAGAGAGTTAATAGATGTTTTGAAGCTTCTTCGCGATAGTAATATGTATTCTTGAGTAGAATACGCATCGGTGCTCGGTATAATATCGATTACAAATCAAATTCTTTGGACTTATAAACACAAAGACATCTTAGGCATTACTTCTTCAAGACGATTGTGTTCGCGTAACAGACAGTATAAACAAATTGATAGAACGGTGTGCACAAAGAAACGAAAGCAGTGTTTTGGCACCGAAATCACTTTGGCTGGTAACTTCTCGCTAACATCGCAAGAAATTTGAAGTAAACCGAGCAGGGTTACATCGACTGCGCAAAGTTTGAATATGTCCGTGGTTCTTGTTACAGTGGTACAGGGTGGACGCAACCAAGATTCGGGAGGATTTGGTCCGTTTATGGATCCCCCTTGGATCGGGACCACAGTGCGACCAACCTGACAAAACTGCCGAAATCTTCCTAATGAAATCCGTTGAGAGATCAGACTCTTTACCATTACAAGCGTGGCATTCTCTGGCAAGATCCGCTCTGTCCTGGTTCATCAGCCGCACATCCATAAATGGGTGAGTACCGGGCCCCCGGAGCCCGACTTTCTTCAAGATTACAGAATTTATTCCTTACTATTAGAGTGTCCCGGAAAGTATTAGGTATATCAGAACTTTGGTTTGCTAACAAGGAAACTTTGGTAACCTGAAAATTCCACTTTTGAAACTTCACGGATTTCTGGAGCTCCTCAGTTCAGTTACCAAGCAAATGTTTCTTTTTCTTTTTTTTTTGTA